CAGGAACTTGAGACTTTGGTTGGTACATGCCCAGTTCAGTGGCTCAGAATGGCGTCTGGTGGTGGGTGGACTCTGCTCACCAGCTTGCCCCATACCTGCCCGCTGTGAGTGTTTGGGCTAGTGACTTCACTGCTTGGTACCTCAGGTTCCTTATCTGCAAGAGGAGGAAAATAAACAGTACCTACCTCATAGTGTTGCTTCAAGGTTCAAAGGAGTTAAAATACAAGGTGTGCTCTATCAGACGCAGGCCCTGGTGAGTGTCAGATAGTAGTCCTTTCTTCTCTGGGGACCATGCTGTGGACTGCCAACAGCAGGGCTTTGGCGTAGTAGAAACAAACGGCATAGTACCAGCCTGTTTTCTCCTCCTCCCCCAGCAGAATCTGGGGTGCTGTTTCCCTGGGGATTGAAGCCATGTGCTTGACTGATCAGGGTGCCTGATTTGCCTGGGGGAGTCAAACTCTCATCTCCTATCATGACAAAGGTGCGCTGCTTACCACATGGAGTGAACAGCATCCTACTCTCCATAGACCCAGAGTGCTCGTTAGCTAAGAGAAATCTAAGGCGATCTTTGGCTATTTACTTGGCGGCAATTAGTCACGGAGATAAGTAAATATACGTGAAACTACAAGTCCTTACGCAGACGCGTGATGCTGCTGTAAGAGCCCAGCACAGTGGGTGTAATACCTGATGGCTGACACATGTCGCTGTCAGTGTGTGCGAGTGGGTGCGTATTGGCGTGGTGTACACTCAGCCTGTGAGCATGATTCCTGTCTGTCCCTTCCTGCCACCCCCTCTCTGCTCCCAGGTGGCATGAAGCCCAACACGTTGGTCCTGGGTTTCTACGATGATGCTCCACCGCAGGACCATTTCCTGACAGACCCAGCTTTTTCGGAGCCAGCTGACAACACCAGAGAGGGCGGGTCCCCGGCCCTGAGCACCCTGTTCCCTCCACCCCGGGCTCCTGGAAGCCCCCGGGCTCTCAGCCCCCAGGACTACGTGGCTACTGTGGCAGATGCCCTCAAGATGAACAAGAATGTGGTTTTGGCCCGGGCCTGTGGGGCCTTGCCCCCCGAGCGGCTGACCCGGGGGGCTGGGGGCACCTCTCAACTGCATCATGTGGATGTGTGGCCACTTAACCTGCTGCGGCCTCGAGGTGGGCCCGGCTATGTGGACATCTGTGGCCTCTTCCTGCTGCAGATGGCAACCATCTTGGGCATGGTGCCTGCTTGGCACAATGCCCGGCTTCGGATTTTCCTGTGCCTGGGGCCTCGGGAGGCCCCCGGGGCTGCCGAGGGGCGACTTCGAGCACTATTGAGCCAACTAAGGATCCGGGCCGAAGTGCAAGAGGTGGTGTGGGGTGAGGGGGCTGGTGCTGGGGAACCAGAAGAAGAGGAAGGGGACTTTGTGAATGGTGGGCTGGGAGATGCCGAGGCAGAGGCCCTGGCATGCAGTGCCAATGCCTTGGTTCGGGCCCAGCAGGGGCGCAGCACAGGAGAAGGGCCTGGTGGGCCTGAGGGTGGGGATGGCGAGGAGCGGCCCACCACTGCCCTCACCTTCCTCTACCTGCCTCGGCCGCCCGCGGATCCTGCCCGCTACCCACAGTACTTGGCGCTGTTGGAAACTCTGAGCCACGACCTGGGCCCCACACTGCTCGTTCATGGCCTCACTCCTGTTACTTGCACTGATCTCTGAGGCCCGTTCCTGGGGGTGGGTGGAGAGGGCTCAGATCTGTCGCTCATACTGATTAGTGAATGATGGGAAGAGAAGCACCGCCTCCTGCCAGTCCTGAGCCTAGTGGGGCTTCCAAGGGGATCCTGGACTTCAGTGTCTTCCTCTCTCCTTTTGGAGAGGGACCCCAGTGCACTAATGCAGGGCGGGTGTCCCCACCGTGCAGGGGTGGGAGCGCAATCCCCCTGCCAGCCTCTCCCTTCACTGGTGCCTTGATGGGAGGGGCTGGGTCCCCTCTGTGACTCCAGGCTACCTCAGTCTCCCCATCCTCCACAGACTCACTGGCCCCCTGGGGTGGCGATGTTTTCGTTTTATTTTTCTAACTCTGCTGACCGTGAATAAAAGATCAAAACACTACAGGCTGGCTGAGCGCTGCTGCTGCTGGCGGGTAGGTGAGAGGGAGGTTGGTGAGGAGGGAGAGGACTGTCTGGGGGTGGAGACAGGAGCCTCCAGTGTCCCACAGCGAGGTTGCCACGTGCAGGGCTGGGGCACCGGCCCTCAGGATGGGGGCAATCTGTGGATTCAGAGGCTGGCCCAGGCCTGCGTCTCCCACCCTAAGCTGCATTCAGTACCCCATAACGAGATCCCAAGGAGAGCCCGCCCCTCTCCGCAGGAGGGGGCCAGCTCTGGGAGGGACAGCAGATTAGGGCCTAAGGGGCCACGTGACTCTCCCCCAGGAATGTGATGACGTCACCGGGGGCGGGGCCGTCCCCAAAATTGGGGAGGAAGGGGAAAAAAAAAGGCAGAAAAAGTTTCTTTCCTGGAGTTCCAGAAGAGGTGTGGGACGTTAAAAGGGGTCAAGGCGGGAGGCTTGGGGCTCTGTAGGGCCCTGACTGCTGTCTGGAGTCTCCCATTCCAGGCCATGTCGGGGCCCACCTGGCTTCCCCCGAAGCAGCTGGAGCCTGCCAGAGCTCCTCAGGGGAGAGCACTCCCCCGAGGGACCCAGGGGCTGCCACCGGCAGGTAAGGCCTGAGGAACTAC